CCGGTGTTGAACTTCTATCTCACCACCAAAGAGTAAAACTGGAAAAGGAGTTACTAGGGTTGTTTCTCTTAAATACACTCTGCCATACCTTATCTATAAGAAAAAGAAAAAATAATTTCAAAGTCTAAGAATATATATAACTTGACCATAAATCAATCTAGGTACAAGCAATTTTGTAACACCAATGGTATTAAATAATTGACATTAAAGCAAAGCTGAAGTTAAATTTCCAGTCTCTGGTCTCTATACCCATGGTCAGCTAGTTGGTAATTTTTCATGTTTTACATTTAAGCTTGATACTGTCACGAGTTTTCAAACCAGTACTTGAAACTGTTACTCTAAGAATATAATTCTTCTTACTTTAAGACTATAATGGAGGCATTTTTAATAAAGGGAGGAGATAATATGTTTCACTTTAAATGATGTGCTCTTTTCTTCTCTCTCTTTTTTTTTTTAAAGTGACTGTAAAACACCCAGTAGCTTTATTTATTTATTTATTTTTTTAATTTTATTTATTTATTTATTTGTGTGTGGCCAGCTCAGCCCACCAGGGGGCGGGGCTGGCTGGCATGTGGTGCTGGGGGATTGAACCGCGGTCCCTGTGCTTTGCTAAGCTTGTTCTGAGTGGGTGCTTTAGACCACTGAGCCATCTCACCAGCCCCTTTTCTTCTCATACTGTCTAAAAAACAAGTCAGTATGACAGGTAACAAAAAATCCAAAATATGAAGCACAGAGTATGCCATCTTCTACTATAAGCTCAAGAAAACTGAGTAGAAATGCAGCTGTAATTCAAAAAGTTGGTGGTTTTGACTGTCATCCGTATTTGCTATTAAATCGCCTTATGTGATACTCACAACTGTGGCCCAGTCATCCATATTTCTACTACTCCACCTAACACACCCTTGTGTGGAAATGGAACACCCAGCAAGTGTTTCGCCCTTTTGAGACAACACCTTTTAGTGAAATACTTGGGAATGGATATCTTATTAACCAGTATTTATTCGCTGTGATGGTCTTTATTCCAAGTAGCAAAGTGATACAATAGAAATCTGATTTTTTTTTTTTTTGAGAATCTACGTGCTTCTGGATTTCATATATAAACAAAATGAACAGCTGAGAATTAAATGCAATGCCCACTTGGACACCCCAACTTGTCATGAATCACTTTTAGACTGACATGAGTGCTACAATTAAGAAGAACTTTACCTTCTCCTGATATAAAAGCCATCCATAAGTCTGTAGATCGCGATTGACCGAGGATGGATGTACTTGCGCTTTGCCTTGGGCCGTCTCCACCACACAAGCCAACTTTTCTGTAACATCCACTGACTTTGTATAGATTATTTTCCCCACATTGTCATACAGTCCTGCAGCCAACACAGCTTTAAGAAGGGCGATTTCTTGGAAAGAGAGTGTCTGCGAGGCTCTCTTTCCTTCCCAGCTGGTAGAGGTTGTAGAAGATGAAAATCCGGCTGCTTTAACCAACTTTATTAATTCCTGCTTTACATCCTAGATTGGTTTATAAAAAAGACATAATCATAATTGATTAAAAGACAGTTTTCCAAAAAGCTTGTAATTTATGTTACTATTTCCTAGAAGATAGAATGCTGTTATTTAGTTGACTGTAGCCCCCCAATTAAGCTACAGTAGAAAAAATTACTGGACTCTTACTCTTCACTACCTTAACTTCAGACGTCACAGTACATAAGAATATTTACGAGAACAACAAAAATATATCTGAATACATTTTTATTCACCATTCTCACCTCAGCAGTGGCCCACACCCAGCCCTGGACATTTGTACTCAATTAAGATGATCACACAGAGAACAGCACTGAGAAAGAATTACAGCGGACCCTTGATCCTAGCGTGCCAGGACTTCACTTGTCTCTGGGAATCTCAGTCTAATTTTATTAGTAACTCTGATAAAGTTTATTTATGGAAACTTCATTTAATCTAAACTTGTGGCCAAAAATAATCTTTCTACCTTTAATACTGTCAATCAGCAAAGCTACTGTAAGACGGACAAGCATTATTCAAAGTGCGTGGGACACAAGTCATTAAAAGGAGATGTTTACTTGTAGGATAGCCTCTAGGCTTTGGCTCAGTTCCAGGGGAGGAAAGCCCTAACTTACAGCTGCTATGGCACCCCGGGGCTGGCAAAGTGATTTAACACCTGGCAGGTCAGAAGACCAGAAGAAAAAGCTCAAGGCAAGATCCGGGTGGAGGCAGTCCGGAGGCCAAGGGACAGCCAAGACAAAAGAAAAAGGCCTAATGGAGAAATAGGTCCCCTTTGGGCCACCTCATTGGGATTTCCACATTCTTATTCTCAGTTATTTGGCCCAGAAGTTGCTATTCCCAGAATGTAGAAAGTGCTGTAGGGGGGCTGGTGAGATGGCTCAGTGGTCTAAAGCACCTACTTAAAACAAACTTAGCAAAGCCCAGGGACCGCGGTTCAATCCCCCAGCACCACATGCCAGCCAGCCCGCCCCCTGGTGGGCTGAGCTGGCCACACACACACACACAAATAAATAAATAAAATTAAAAAAAATTATAAAAAAAAAGAAAGTGCTGTAGGACAATATACCTCATTTCTTTAAAAAATAAATGCCTAGAAGGAAAAGAAAAAAAAAAAAGAAAGAAAAAGAAAAGAGTAACTATAGATGAAGAGCCTTACGAATATATCAATCAAATTTAATTGTTAAGCTCATGATTTGAACTACCTATAAAAAATTTAAGAGCTCACTGGGATATTTAAACGTTATATATTTGATGATACTAAGGAATCTTTAAAGCTGTGACACTGTTAAAGGAGAAAAAAGTTCTGTAATTTAGATATACAGTGACCTGATACCTTGGGTTTGCATAAAGAGTCCAGAGAACAGAACCGTATGTTGATAGTTGTGGAAATACAGACATGAGACTTCATTATAGTTCTTTACTTTTTGGTATGTTTGAAATTTTCCATAATTAAAGAAAAAACAATTTTCAGAGTTGAGAAGAAGACACATTAGTCTCTTCTCATTTTTTCCCTTAAATATCAAACTAAAAAGAGATTAACTATCTTGATTCTCAGACTGGTGTTATTTCTATAAAATCATGCTGCCTTTTTCTTGTCATTTACTCAATATAATGGCTGTTAAGTTCTGTTTTAAATCACTGTGCAATGTCTACAGGTTACTAATTCAACAACTGTCTATTAAATATTTACTGTGTGTCTAGCACTACCTATCCTAGGCATCCTGGCATTAGAGGTGTAGCAGGAATTACCTCTAGGGTCAACAGCGACGTTCTATTAAGGAAGTTCCTCCGACAGTAAGTGATCTCAGAGCGATAGCCTCCCTCTTGCCGTGCTCTCTTCCATCTGGATAAAATGTTAATAAATGAATAAAGCTCACCACATTTGCTCTCCACACTCTCTTTTGCAGGGATGGTAACCAAAGAAATTTTAAAATTATAATTATAGCAGCTATGTTATTTTAATTGCAATATTTTTTGTTTATCAATAACATTTATTAAAGTACTTTAAATACTAATACATACATATGATGTCAAGTAAGTTCTTATACAGTACATTATGTATGAATCTTTAATAAAAGAATTCCTTGAGAGATGAAAATAAAAATAAATTTAAATTGGTAATTTATTTCAATAACCTGAGGCAAATAACTTCAGGCTAATGGCTTATTGATAGCACCCAGATTATTTTACCCTAGATATGCATTGTAGATCGTCAAGTGGTCTGAATCTGCAATGGCCAACGCTGATTTTGCAAGATCTGCTTCTTCTTTTCGACCAATTGGTGTGACAAAAGGAGACTTTTCTGTCATAACCGCTGCCAGTGTTGCCTGCCCATGAACAACAAATAATTTGTCATTGGAAATATACGCCGAAAGCTGGGCTGGAAGAAGTGATAGCACCAGAATCATAAAAACGCCAAAACCTGAGAATACACAATTCGTAGTCTGTCTTGCAGACAGACGCAGTATCACAATCCCAGCTCGGTCATCTCGGCTCCTCACTGCTGACCTTCCACGGACTGCACTGCTATTGACAGTGAGCCGGACAACACAATCACTACTTGCTGCAGCTTTTCACTTTTTCAGATAAACTGTCATGGCAGAGGTTAGTTTTCGAACTTGGCACAATTTTGGTGGGTACCTGTTCTGCCCTTTCATTGTGTTGCTGGGGACCAAATGCAGGGCTCCTCCATGCTTGGCATCTCCAGCCCCACAGATACTTTTAATAGGGATCAGAGTAACAAGTTGGCCTCTTTTTAGTATGATTTTGAATAGCCTTGATTAGAACCCCGACAAGGTCATAGCTTGATCAAGTTGGAAAGGTGGAATGGTATTATAGGAATATGTGTCCAGAAATTCAGAAAGATAAAACCTTAAGAATTAGCTACTACAGGGCCGGCCAAATAGCTCAGTAGATTAAAGTGCCTGTAAGCAGGTGCAGGATCCCGGAGTTCGATCCCGGGGCCTGCCATGCCAGCCCCGCCACAGGGCCATGCTGAGCTGGCAATTGAGACCGGGCATGGGGATGCGTGCCTGTAATCCTAGCTCTTGGGAGGCTGTAAACAGGCATATCAATACAAGTCTGATCTAGTAGTGAGACCTTGAACACCCTGTAGATCCTTTCCTAAAAATAAATAAACAAGAATTAGCTACTACAAAAAAAAAAAAAAAAAAACAAAAAAAACAGCTACTACATACTTAAATAAAGTGTTTCAATTGGGTTATTCTGATAGCAAAAGTATACATAAGCCAAACTCACATACCTTTTTTTTTTTTTTTTTTGTGGCACCAGGGATCAAACTCAGGACTTTGCACTTGCCAGGCAGTTGCTTATGCCGCTGAGCTATATCCCAAGCCCAGTATTCTTAAGTAAAAAGGTGAACAGATTTTCAAGTATATAAATATAAAAAGTTAAATGTATATTAAAAAATTCTCACCAAGTATTCAGGTCTCTTGGCCTTTAACGTTAGTATAAGCATTCTATTTAGTTAATGTATTTGTTAAAACATTCTGAATTACAAATAAAAATTGTTTCCCAATTTAAACAATTTCCAGCCAAATGACATTTAAAGTAAAGCAGCAGCAGCAACATCTCACTCACCACTGGATCAAGGCAGCCAAATATGGCACCAAAAATAAGCATCTTGCCAATCTTGACATTCACGGGTAAAGCTGCCAGGTGCTGGCCCAGCGGCGTCAGCTTAGGCTCGCTGAGTTCACAAGCTCCAATTTTGCGGAGTAAATTCATTGCGTTGCTGATGACTTGGAGCTGAGGCGGATCCAAGGCTTTGGAGAGGAACTCTTCGGGAGAACCCAGATTACATTTCTACGTAATGAGAGAACGGCAACACTGGTATGTGACCCGAAAGAAGGAACGATGCGTAAGACAGTGTCAGAGCCATGCGTGAGCTCAGTAGGATCCCCAGCGAGAGCAAAGGCGTCAGGCTTTCTATCACAGCGGGCTGGAGTGCACGTGACAGCGGCCACATTTCTAAGTTTCTTCATTACAGATTTTTATACAGCCAAAAAGCAGAGAGCAGAAGAATGGTATAAGCGCTCTCAGCCGAAAACTGTGGTCTGCGTCAGGGCTGGCCAGTCCCAGCACTGCCCGGATTCTGGGCGGGACAATTCTTTGCCAAGGGTGGGTGCCGTCCGATGGACAGCCGCTTCCCTCACCGCGACACACTGGACACTGTCGGCCCCACTGAGCCCTTGCCGCATCATAACAAGGGAACACAGTCTCCTGATCAGGCCCCACGTCTCCCAACAGGCAGCGCTATGTGCAGTTGAGCATGACTGGTCGAGCTTATGGGGCTGTATTTTAATCTATCAAGTACGAAAGTTTATGGCAAAATCAAAGCAAGGGGATGTACTTATAAAATGCAGGAAGGGCACATCTTTTTTTTTTTTTGCAGAACTGGGGATTGAACTCAGGCCCTTGCGCTTGCCAGGGAAGCGCTTATTCCACTGAGCCATCTCCCCGGCCCCAAGGAAGGGCACATCTTAAAGAAGAGTTAAATATTAAAAAACTTTCATTGACATTAAATACAGATTAAGTTTATGTCTTCTGATTTTTTTTTCCTTTCTAAAAAAGAAATAGAAACAAAAGTCCTAGTTCATTTGGGATTACCATAATGTGAAGACACAATTCTTCCAGAGGTACACGCAAAATCTCAGGAACAGAATAGTCCGTGAAACCTTCAAATCTGCAAAAGAGAACACCACCTCGTCAGAATGCACTCACCACGGCTCTGGGCCTCACAACTTTCTGGTGCTCTGCCGTACCTTTCTCGTGTGTAGAGTCGGAAACAGAAGCCGTCTCTGACCCGCCCAGCTCTCCCCTGGCGCTGCAGGGCACTAGCTTTACTGATAAAAGTCTCGACCAAAGAACTCATCTGACTGCTTTCATGGTACCTGCAGAAATATTTTAGGAAAGAATATGTAAATTATTGATATACCAAAATTGCAAAACAGCTGGAAAAATTTCACTCTTAAACTGAACTAGAGGAGTGTGGTGGCACACTCCTATAATCCCAGCACTTGGGAGGCTGAGGCAGGCAAATCGCTGGGAGTTGAAGGCCAGCCTATGCTACACAGTGAGACTGTCTCAAAAAAAGCCCACCCCCCCAAAAAAAAAATTAAGCTGAACTCAGGCTAAAAAGAATTTGTTACTGTTAAGGACAAACATTTCCCATGTCATATTTCCTACATAAATAAATTAGCAAACATACCATACTAAATCTCATACTACCGAAATAAATGCCATGGTACAAGGAAATAAACTTTGTTTAACTTATTTCAAACAAATCTGACCAAGAACATTCAGCATACCTTTTGTAAGACACAAATCCTGAAAATGTTTCCTCTAAAAGTACATCTGAAAGTTTACCTTCACTTGGATAGTAATATTCTTTCTCAGATATTAGTGTATTTTTCATTACATTGAGAATAATATACATAGATTTTTATTTTTTGTACATAGATTTTTTAAAAAAATGCTATGTGGCCTCTATGTAACATAAAATAATGTTTTTTGTTGGAGGTTCAGTTAAGAATACTTGATATGTTCTAGTTACTGTACTGGTACTTTCAACTAGGAAAATTTCATTTTTTTCATTTATATATGAGAAACCAAATGACTAGAAAGGTTATATTTTTCTTGATTTTTGATCAGAGATTTATGGTCTTTCATTATAATCCCATAAATAATGCTTCTATTAAGCAATTTTTTTTTACAAACACAAAAAACCTAAAAATGTATGTACTTTTCTAAAAGTTGTAGTACACAGGCATTTCTTGTGGTAAAACTCCTTTTTGGGGGAGGGGCAGAACGGGATTGAACTCAGGCCCTTGCACTTGCCAGGCAAGCGCTTATTCTACTGAGCCATCTCCCCAGTCCCAACTCCTGATAGGCAATTCTGATATTTATTGTAGGGCATTATAGGCTTTCCTATTGTTTTTCTAAAGCTTTTTGCTTTGGGAATAATTAAGACAGTTGGGATTTTTCTCTGTATGATTCTATAATTTCTCCTAAGATTTCAAGAGCCTCAAACTTTCCAGGTGAAAATGTTTTGATTTGGTAAGCTCAAACTTACTTGTTTTCTTTTGTTCTTCCAGTATCAATTACAAATACAACATCTGGAATAGTGATACCCGTCTCTGCAATATTTGTTGCTAAAACAATCTGAAAAGAAACAAATAGCTAAAGCATTTATACAACTTTCAGCAATATACTACCATTTAAATTTCTTTAGGTGGTTTTAGTTGATGAATTTTTAATTTTTAATAAAATTTTTAATTTTATTCATAAAATTTACACAATTATGACTGTGTAGTTTTAATTTGCTCTAATTCGTTTCATTTGAGCCTGTTAAATAGACTGAAGTTACAGATTTTTTATTACAACAAAACCTATTTCTGCTAATTTTAGTCAGTCATCCTAAAATTTTAGAAGTAGAATGGGACATTGTGTCTGAGAATAGAAGACAGCCTCAGCAAGACTGTTCATAACTTAAAAAAAAAAAAAAAATGCTGTACTTCCAGGGATCATTATAGAATGTTTCATAATTAAATAAATAAAAAAGCACCAGCAAGCACATTACTGGGGACCAGGCTGCTGTCTCGGCCCTGCTAGTTCTGCCGCACAGGTCATTTCACCCCGGGACTCAATTACCTCAGGTGCAAAGCAGGAGGTAGACATACAGGATTTCTCTCAATTCTTAACAGTGATGATTAATACTGCAACCTACTGCACTTTTTATATGGTTGCTGAATCCCTGGAGATAAGCATTTAAGAAATTCTAGGTCAACTGCAGTAAACACTGCTATATTTTAGTACTGAACAATACCTTTCCTTAGTATTCCTTTATTCTAGGAAATTGAACACAGATTTTTAAAAAGCTGGATGAGGCCTATCTGATAAGTCCACTTCAGTAGTGTTCGTATTTCTTTCTTTCTTTTTGGTTAAAAGAGAACTCCTTTCCTAAAAAACAGAAACCCTAAAACACAACGGGAAGCACAGACGTTACCAAAGCACAGTGTCAGGACCCTGGAGGACCCACAGACCAGTTAGAAAGCATCCGTTTAATTCAGCCCCAACTCAGAGGGGAAAAGTGAGCTGACCAGCTGGCAAAGGCTGTCCAGATGGTGGCAGCTTAAGGCGGAGGACGAGCCAGGCTTCCTGCACTACGGTCGGGGCTCTTCTGATGGCTGCGTCCCACGGTCCCCACACTGTGCTTTTCCCTTTTTCTGAGAGAGGGTTCAGTAGCTCAGAAACTTGTGGCAAGGCATCTCCTCATTCAGAACTCTGAACAGAGAACCATGAAAATATTTAGAGTGGTTCCATAAGCCAGTGGTCCTTGTTCTGTGAAGATACTCAGGAATGAGTGGCCTAGAGAACAAAAGTCCTCCCAGGACTTAAATACCTCCAGATACTCAGTTTTCTTCATAACACTTTTTGGGAAAAAGTGATTTTTTTGTTTTATCATTGTTATTATTAAATCTTTGTGTGTATGTATGTATTTATTTGGTACAGGGTCTTGCTATACAGCTCAGACTCACAGTGATCCTTCTGTCTCAGCCACCTCAGAGCTGGGATTACAGCTGTGTGTCAACACGCCCAGTTTCGGTGGTCAGCTCTGGGGCTGGAGCCAGTATGGCGTGCAGTACCAGGGACCGAATCCAGGTCCTTGTGCTTGCCCAGCAGGCACTTAAACCACTGAGCTATCTCCCCGCCCCTTGTTTGTTTTTATAAGCAATGGTCAGGCCTTATTTTTTCACCAAATACTCCCTGAAAAAGCCTAATCCTTCGTACAGCACATAATATAAATACAGAAATGCTTAAATTTTAATACTGGGTTCACTTCTGACTAAGTGAAGCTGCGCGGCGCCTGCAGCCTGAAGCACTTCTGTCCTGAAAGTTCTGGGCTGAGCTTTACCTTCCTGACTCCTGCAGGGGGAGGCACGAATGCTGCAGCTTGGTCTTGAGTTGAAAGAATAGAATGCAGAGCTATCACTTTATATCTGAAAGTTAAAATCATAGTTCTTAGCAAGTTTCTCTTTAGAAGACACTGTAAAGAATAACAAAATTAATTTGCACATAGGAAGCAACTTTAAAGTTTTTATTATGAAATATTTAAAAACAGAAATTCACAGAAGAGTCTAGTAAAAAAAACCCATATACACCCAATACAGAGAAAAAATTCATATGAATCACTACAAATCGATACCTCCTTTCTGAAAAGCCAGCAGAAGTGTTTTTTATTTTGGAGCACACCAAATTTTACTTTCATTAGGAATGGAAACCTGCGTATAAAACTTACAGACATTTTTTAAAATGTCCAGATATTAATGGGACGACCATTACAGCATGCATAAACTACATCAGAGTAAAGTGCTGGTTTAATGTGTTCGGATGATACCCTGCAGTCTTGCTGGAGTTTTGTGTGGCTCCCAGTGGGGGAGGAAGCCACCTCTTAATGTTCAGCCACAAGTCTCTCGCTGGTCTCCCACCCGGCTGCGTCCACACCCCTTTCCATTTAATTTCTGTGTTGAGACACAGTCTCACTAGGTGGCCCAGGCAGAACGTGAACCTGCAATCCTCCCCATTCCTAAATGCTGGATTTAACAGGTGTCAGCCCACACCAAGCCCTGCTTCATTGTATTAGAGAAACAGAATGTAAAGGTACAGTACCGACAACATTTTCAAAAATGTTTCAAAAACATAAATCTGCGGCCGGGGAGATGGCTCAGTAGAATAAGCACTTGCCTGGCAAGTGCAAGGGCCTGAGTTCAATCCCTGGTTCCACCAAAAAAAAAAAAACCAAAACAAAAAACACAAATCCTTTCTACTCCATAGAAAATTTTAACTAAAAGTGAAAAGACTTTGAAAATGGAGAACAAGAGTTTTAGTATGTTAAATGTTTTCTATTTTAAAATTATCAGGAATATACTGAAGACTTGTAGTTACCGTTCAGAATAGAATCTTCTATCATTTGATAGGAGATCATATAACTGTTGAATATGAGCAAGGCCTGGTAAAAAGATCAACACTGCTCCTTCAATATTTCTGAACTGAGGGCTTTTGTCTAAAATTGAAAAAAAGATACAGTACTCAACATAAGGAACAGCATGTGAAATATTAATGAACTCCCCTGTTACTAGGAATGCCTTATCAATTACACGCATAGTGGAAGTAGACATTACCTAAATATACAAGAAGTTCCAAAATGAGGTCCAGGTTGATTTTATGAGGGTTCATGCAGAGAATAGCATGCTGAGTGCGGCTGCTGTACTTCTGGTAAAATGGATTTAAGTTAGCACCTCCTCCAGTCTGAACTGGCACGCATTCCTAAGAGAAACCAAACCAGAGAAAGCTGAACAAAAGCAGAGCGCATTAAGAGTTTTTAGGAAAAAGAAAAAAAAGGAAGTATCTGCAAGGATTCGGATTTTTTTCAGTTACTGTTATTTCATTAAAATATGCAAGAGAACAATTTTGAAAGTAGAAAAAGTACCAAAAATTTAAAGAATTCTGTAATTTTATCTAGCTCTTAACATTAAAAGAAAACTGCAGAAAAACATGGTAATCTTGTGTGTGTTACTCTTTGGCAACTAAAAAGCAGCCAGAAGAGCCGGCCGATAGCTCAGCAGATTAAGGCACCTGCTTAGGCACAGGCAGGGACTGGGGATTCAATCCCAGGCGTGCAGTGCCGGCCCCGCCCCTGGGGTGTGCTGAGACTGGGCACGGTGGCATGCACTTGTAATTCCAGTACTTGGGAGGCTGAAAACAGGAGGATCACTATGAGTCTGATCTGCATAGTGAGACCCTGTACTAAACACATTAAAAAGAAACAGAAAGGAAAGGGAAGCAAATCAGCCAGGGCAAGACAGGTCATCACATAAGGAAGGCCGTGTACACTTGCCCCATTCCCTTCTAGGATACGCTGGCTACCCAGTTCCAATGATCTCTTTTGAATGTGCACACACTCCAACACACTTTTTTCTTTGGTTTGTAGGATTTCAGTTCTTGATATCTTGGTTTATCTGGTTAATTAAATGATGAAGTAATCTTAACCTACTATTTCCATCAGTTTGGATACATGCATAAAATACAAATGAAGTATCACAGATGTAATGGGATCTAGTACTGCTGGCTAAAATGTGGGATAGTGTATGTTTTCTAATATTTCTAAGAGCAAGTAACTGAGACTAACTACCTAGGAAAAACTCTATCCCTAAATAGCTCTGCTACAGAGTGAAGGCTGACCTCTGCCAGCACAGATGCTGGCAAGAACAACAATGACAAGGGACCAGATCTAGTACAATAAAATGGGCAAGCAAAGCAAAATAAACCACAAAACAATATAAACACGTGGAAATTAAGTAACATCCTCCTGAACAACCAAAGGTTCCCAGATAAAAGTAAATAAGAAATTTAACAGTATCTACAATTAAATGATAATGCCAATACAACATACCAGAACTTATGAGATGCAATGAAAGCAGTCCTAATAGAGGAATTTAGTTGAGGTTTATTTTTCATTTTTGGTGTTGAGTACCAAACCCAGGGCTTCCAGTTTGCTAGGCAAGTGTTCTACCACTGAGCTAAATCCCCGTCCCCTAAGAGGGAAATTCATAGCAATGAATTCTCATATTAGGAAAACAGAATGAACTTAAGCTAATGCTGAACTTCAGCAACCTAGAAAAAAAAAAAAAAGAAAGAAATGAAACCCAAGCTTGTACAAGGGAGGAAATTATAAAGATAAGGGCTGGCCAGATAGCTCAGTAGACTAAAGCGCCTGTTTACTCAGAGTGCAGAAGCCGGGGTTCAATCCCTGGCCTGCCATGCTGGCCCTGACCTGGGGACCCGCTGAGATGGCAATTGAGACTTGGCATGGTGGCATGCGCCTGTAATCTCAGCACTTGGAAGGCTGAAAACAGGAGGATCACTATGAGTCAGACCTATGTAGTGAGACCCTGCAGACCTTGTCCTAAATACAT